GAGATTTGGTCTCCTCCGGTTCAAAGATCACCATGGTGCTGCTGTTGTTAGCGCCTGTGGCTACTTTTCGTGATGCAATAGGTGATAGTTCGTTGCGGATGGCCGACATGACATGAGGGTTTTGGGCGAGGTTGTAGAAGACCCATGTCAAAGTTGTGCCGATTATGTCCCTCCCCGCGATCATGTAGTTGATGAGCGTCGCATGGAGCAAGCCATCGTTCTGCTGGTAGTCTGGATCAACAATGTAGGAAGACAGAATGTCCACGGAAGAAGGATCTCCCTCGTTTGCAACATGTTCCTTCTTCTTCCTCCTCTCCATCATCTCCTCAACGAACCCACCTAGAACCGTGTGCGCTGCGGTGAGCTTCCTTTCCGGACCTATGTTTAGCCACCTCATCACCTTATGCTCCTTTGCATTTGGAGCTTGATCTGTTCCTCTCCTGGCGGCGCTCCCGTGGGCGCCCCGAGGGGAACCCATCCCGGCCGCCGCCTCTCTCCTCCCTCCTCTGCCCACCTCCCTCGCCGCCGCCCGGTGGCGCCGCCGGGCGAAGCCAGGCCGGCCGGGGCGGCGGCGGGGCCTTCCTTTCCCCTCCGCCCATGGTCATGGCCGGCGCGGGACGGCTTCCCGAGCGGGGGCGCTAGCCTATGGCGGGGGCTAGCGGCGCGGCGGCGCTCCGTCGGGGTGGCCTGCCTTGGCGGCGACCTGGTGGGCGGCTGCGGCGGGTCAGATCGGGCGGTGGCGGACCGGCACGCCTCCGGCTAGATCCGCGCGGATTTGGTCCCTGGCGGTAGCGGGCGTCGCGGGGTGGCGGCGCAGGTCCTCGTGGGCTCTGCATAGAGGTGGATTGCAGCGGCGTGGCTGCAACCACGTGGTCGGCCGGTCTGCGCGCAGCGGCGGCGGGACTGCTCTGGCGTCTGCTCGTCGGCGGCTTTCTCGGACGGCGACCCGTGTACGAGAGATGGAGGTCTTCGATCAGATCTGGGTGAAAACCTGCTATTGGCTATTGCCTAGGCCGGCGATGGCGACGCTGTCTGCATCGTTCCCTTCCTGAAGGCATCGTCATGGAGAAGTTCAAGGCCACTCTCTGCTACCTCCGGGGGAAACCCTAAATCAGTAGATCGGATGACGGCGGCTCTCTAGTGTCGTTTCCCCCCTGGGGGCGTCATTCTTGGAGGTGCACACGGCTCGAGGGACTAGAGGACGGCGACTTTGGTGGAGCGGTGCTTCATCTTTCACATTGATGGTGGCGGATCTCAGCGGCATGGTGCTGTGGAGACTCGGCGTCTGATGCGCGGAGATGGACTCGTGCAGGAGGAGGAAGCTGTCTGGCGTCATGGTGACGTCGATGGCAGAGTGGCCAGACAAGGTAGAAGCCTCAATATGATTTGAAGACGGACCTGTGGAAGATGGCGGCGACGACACACGAGTGCGTCTGACCGGATTGTGCCCCAGACCCGGTATGTGGCTCGGCTGGGGCTTCCAAATGAGTTTCGGCTTCCGGCTTTTGATGTTAGCCTTAGGTGAGTGGTTTGGGTAGTGGCCCAGCTAGCACCCCCTAATCATTTTGGATAGGAGTAGCGGCATATGTTGCCAAGATGGTGGATTCAAACACATTGTTGTAACACTTTGTACGGTCCTCGAGAATAATCAATAAAGTGGCCGTATGCATCTCCCAGATGCAGAGGCCGGGGGTCATCCTCCTTTTCTAAAAAAAAAGCCACCTCATCACCTTCCAGCCAGAGGTCAGCATGATGTGCCGGAACAAGGCCACCTCCATGACCGTGTTCATGGCGACCGCGGCGTCCATGGGCGGCATGTTCGAGGACAGGAGGCCCGGGTCCACGCCAAAGAGAGGCGTGGCAGTCATGTTGAACACGAGCCTTGTTGTCAAATCTTGCAGGTCGAACGTGGTCCCGGTGCTCGCCATGTGCATGAGCACCGGGAGGAGGCCGTTCTCCACCTTGTCGCGGCAGCAAGCGGTCATACAGGCAAGCAACCGTGGGTTGCTCAAGACTCTCCGGGCTCTTGCGCGTTGCCGACGCCAGGGCTCGCCTTCGGTGGTGAAGAAGCTGCCACCCGCGATGTCAAAGATGGCTGCGAACTCCGCGCCCTTGGGGAAGTTTGCATGGTTCGTCGTGAAGATGTGCCGGACGTTGGCCGGTTCGCATGTGATGAAGAACCGCAACCCGGTCCCAGGCGGGCCGTACGCCCTGAAGTTGTGGCCTGATCCGGCGAGGACGACGGCGAGGTAGTCGTGCAGGTTGTGGAAGTTGGCGATAAGGTAAGGGAACACCCCCACTATTGGCCAGTTTATGGGGAGCACTGATGGGTTCTTTGATCTGCTAGACCTGAGGTACAACATGTAGAGGGGAACAATAATGATGGCGAATGTGGAGATGAGCAGCTCTTGCGAGAACAAGGTCGACATTTTTTCCAGTAGCTAGTGTGGGGAGATGCTAGTGCTTGGGTGTATGCTGCATGGACATGCCGATGGCTCCATTTATAGAGAGAAGTTCCCTCTGCCATCAGGCATATGGTTCGATGGACGCATTAATACAGTCAACGATGAGAGTTGCTTAACGATAAGTACTACATATCTCCAGAATGCCAAAAATCCATTTTTTTTTGCTTAACCCCATGCTGCATTAATTATGATGTTGTATATAATCAGTGGTGTATGATCTATCGTGGAGAAGACACTGTCTACAACAAGGCCTTGGTTTAGAAGACACTATCTTTGATTAATTCTGTTTCACATATGTCACTATCCAGTCCATCACACGTACCCGGCCCCCGGTCATCTTCCACCACGATCTCAAGTCGGTGCATGCATATGCATATGGTCTACCATGTGCCCATACTAATTCGGGATGAAAACAACGTGTATGCATGCAGCTGGTAGATATCATGGCCAGATGTATTTCAGGCATTAATCACCTCTGGTCGGTGCATCCACCACCAGTGAACATATCATGGTGAGATGTATTGATAGCTGATCGGTCACCACAGCGAAAAACAGTAGTAGGAAGACCCCTACTCGCCATTTTATATTATATCAAAGGGCGCTGATCTGCGCCGGTGCGCCGGCCCAACCGTTGGGCCGGTCCAGCACCAGCCGTCCGATGCGCTAGCCAGGGCTGTCAGATCTGCGTGAGATTCCTTCGAGAAAAATCTCCCCACCGCAGCCGCTCCCCGCCGCACCGCACCGCGGGACGCCCCCGCCGGTCGTTGACCTCGCAGCAGCCTGCACCTCGCCGCACCAGCCTCGCCACGGATGGCAGCTAGCCACCTCCGCCGCCGGCCGCACCTGGGCGACGAAGCCGTCGCAACTCCGCCGCCGCCGGCCATTGACACATGCAACACTCGCCGCGGTTGCAGCTAATCCGTGAATGGACGTAGCAAAAATTCAGACAGTTGTAGCAAAAACGCCGCCGGAACTCGCCGCCGCACTTGAAGCACCATGGCCTCGTGAATGGATGTAGCAAAACACGTCTCCAGTAGTAGCAAAAAACAAGGTTGTTGCAACAAAAATGTCGTAAAAAAGCACCACAGCTTCATGAATGGATGTAGCAAAAACACAGACGGTAGTAGCAAAACTTTGACACGGTTGTAGCAAAAATGGCCACCGTCGCCGTCGCCGGTCGCAAAAAATAGCCGCCGTTGCAAAACCAGAATACGGTTGTAGCAAAAAACCAGGCTACTTCCAGCAAAATTAAAATACGGTAGTAGCAAAACTTGGTCTGATCCAGCAAATCAAAAAAGATGATAGCAAAAACTGTTTCCGGTTCTAGCAAAAAAAGACACTGGTTTGGTTCCAGCAAATCATGATGCCGGTACAAGTAAGAATAAATGCCGGTTGTAGCTCATGATTTGCCGGTTGTAGCATGTTGGAGTCGCCGCCGATGTTGGTTGTAGCTCCTCGCATTGTCGCTTCCAGCTTCTCTGACGACAGCTTCCAGCAAAATTGCTTGTGGTTTGCAGCACCGGTGGCAGCCTGCGGTCATCCTTCGTCGCTGCCGTCGCGTACCACCGGTTGCCACTCCCGCTAGTCGTCGTTGTAGCATGGTCGCCGCCGTTTGAAGCGCCCAATCCCACGCCGCAAGCTGGGTTGCCGCACAACCGCGCTGATGGATGGGCGGCCGATCGCCGGTGTAGCGCGGGGCGGGTGGATGGCGGCCGCTCGCCGGAGTAGCGCGGGGGTGAGTGGATGGCGGCTGCTCGCCGGAGCAGCAGGGGCATGTGGATGATGGCTGCTCGCGACATCGACGGCGGTCATCACCGGCAAGAGTTTATTTGGGGAGCAACGGGGAGAAGATGGGCGAGAGGATAAGGAAAGGAATAAATGGTGGAGTGAATCGTGCGGGATGATAGAGACAGGCTTAAGCGGTGGTGGGTGGGCCTGTTGCTAGCGTGGACTTGACCGGCGGAGTTTCAGCCGGTCGACCGGCGTGAAACGTTTCCCTATATCAAATGGGATATGTGCACAGGAGCGGATCAGATCAATCACAAGGCATCTAACCAGAATTTCATGCCTTCTTTAAGGCTAGTCCGAGCACTATGTATAATTTTTTTGCCAGAAAATTTCCGATCTATTCATCAACTGTCAAGGCAGTACAAAAACACTAGAGGTAAAAATTACATCCACATCCACAAGAGAGCCTTGGCTCAGTGGTTGAGCATGCAGTTATGCAGTCTAGCGGCCCGAGTTCAATTCCTAGAATTGACAGGTGATCGGCGGCGGCGGAGGGTCTCTCCTGAAGGAAATATGCCCTAGAGGCAATAATAAAGTTATTATTTATTTCCTTATTTCATGATAAATGTTTATTATTCATGCTAGAATTATATTAACCGGAATCATAATACATTTGATTAACGGGGTCACATCATTAAAGAATGATGTGATTGACTTGACCCATTCCGTTAGCTTAGCACTTGATCGTTTAGTATGTTGTTATTGCTTTCTTCATGACTTATACATGTTCCTATGACTATGAGATTATGCAACTCCCGTTTACCAGATGAACACTTTCTGTGCTACCAAACGTCACAACGTAACTGGGTGATTATAAATGTCCTCTATAGGTGTCTCCGAAGGTACTTGTTGAGTTGGCGTATTTCGAGATTAGGATTTGTCACTCCGATTGTCGGAGAGGTATCTTTGGGCCCTCTCGATAATGCACATCACTATAAGCCTTGCAAGCAATATGACTAATGAGTTAGTTGCGGGATGATGCATTACATAACGAGTAAAGAGACTTGCCGGTAACGAGATTGAACTAGGTATTGAGATACCGACGATCGAATCTCGGGCAAGTAACATACTGATGACAAAGGGAACAACGCATGTTACTATGCGGTTTGACCAATAAATATCTTCGTAGAATATGTGGGAGCCAATATGAGCATCCAGGTTCCGCTATTGGTTATTGACCGGAGACGTGTCTCGGTCATGTCTACATAGTTCTCGAACCCGTAGGGTCCGCACGCTTAACGTTAGGTGACGATTTATATTATGAGTTATGTGTTTTGATGTACCAAAGGTAGTTCGGAGTCCCGGATGAGACCAGGGACATGACGATAAGTCTCGAAATGGTCACGACGTAAGGATCGATATATTGGACGACTATATTCGGATATCGGAAAGGTTCCGAGTGATTCGGGTACTTTTCGGAGTACCGGAGAGTTATGGGAATTCGTATTGGGCCTTAATGGGCCATACGGGAAAGGAGAGAAAGGCCTCAAAGGGTGGACGCACCCCTCCCCATGGACTGGTCCGAATTGGACTAGCGAGGGGGGGGGGGGGGCGCCCCCTTCCTTCCTTCTCCTTCTCCCTTTCCTTTTTCCTATTCCATGTGGGAGGAGGAATCCTACTAGGACTAGGGAGTCCTAGTAGGACTCCACACTTGGGCGCGCCCTATGAGGGCCGGCCTCCTCCTCCCTCCATACTTTATATACGTGGCTAGGGGACACCCCATAGACACACAAGTTGATCTGTTGATCTCTCCCAGCCGTGTGCGGTGCCCCCCTCCACCATATTCCACCTCGGTCATATCATAGCGGTGCTTAGGCGAAGCCCTGCGTCGGTAGCAACATCATCACCGTCATCACGTCGTCTTGCTGACGGAAATCTCCCGTGAAGCTCTGTTGGATCGGAGTTCGCGGGACGTCATCGAGCTAAACGTGTGCTGAACTCGAAGGTGCCGTACGTTCGGTACTTGGATCAGTCGGATCGTGAAGACGTATGACTACATCAATCGCGTTCTGCTAACGCTTCCGCTTTCGGTCTACGAGGGTACGTGGACAACACTCTCCCCTCTCGTTGCTATGCATCACCATGATCTTGCGTGTGTGTAGGAAATTTTTTGAAATTACTCCGTTCCCCAACAGTGGCATCCGAGCCTGGTTTTATGTGTAGATGTTATATGCACGAGTAGAACACAAGTGAGTTGTGGGCGATACAAGTCATACTTCTTACCAGCATGTCATACTTTGGTTCGGCGGTATTGTTGGATGAAGCGGCCCGGACCATCATTACGCATATGCTTACATGAGACTGGTTCTACCGACGTGCTTTGCACACAGGCGGCTGGCGGGTGTCAGTTTCTCCAACTTTAGTTGAACCGAGTGTGGCTACGCCTGGTCCTTGAGAAGGTTAAAACAGCACTAACTTGACGAAATATCGTTGTGGTTTTGATGGGTAGGTAAGAACGATTCTTGCTCAGCCCGTAGCAGCCACGTAAAACTTGCAACAACAAAGTATAGGACGTCTAACTTGTTTTTGAAGGGCATGTTGTGATGTGATATGGTCAAGACATGATGCTAAATTTTATTGTATGAGATGATCATGTTTTGTAACAGGGTTATTGGCAACTGGCAGGAGCCATATGGTTGTCACTTTATTGTATGCAATGCAATCGCCCTGTAATTGCTTTAGTTTATCACTAAGAGGTAGCGATAGTCGTATAAGCAATAGTTGGCGAGACTACAACGATGCTACGATGGAGATCAAGGTGTCGCGCCGGTGACGATGGTGATCATGACGGTGCTTCGGAGATGGAGATCACAAGCACAAGATGATGATGGCCATATCATATCACTTATATTGATTGCATGTGATGTTTATCCTTTATGCATCTTATTTTACTTTGATTGAAGGTAGCATTATAAGATGATCTCTCACTAAATTTCAAGGTATAAGTGTTCTCCCTGAGTATGCACCATTGCGAAAGTTCTTCATGCTGAGACACCACGTGATGATCGGTTGTGATAAGCTCTATGTTCAAATACAACGGGTGTAAGACATTTTTACACACGCAGAATACTTAGGTTAAACTTGACGAGCCTAGCATATACAGATATGGCCTCGGAACACTGAGACCGAAAGGTCGAGCGTGAATCATATAGTAGATATGATCAACATAGTGATGT